TATTTATTAAATAAAATGCATTCCCGCAATCTGTTGTGGTTATATTTTTTCATTCCTTAAAGTGAAAAAAAAGAGTGTCTTCGCGCAATTCGATTTTTAGCGTTTACCATTATTTAGAGTGAATACAGAACTCTATTTTTTGGAAACATTCATCGATTGCTAGAAGAGCAACATTTTTTACTTTTTAACTATCGTTTCCCCAATAAAAGTGTAATCTGTGAAAGAATCAGAGAGATATATTTTATATTATTCCAAGCATAATTAGGGAATAATTGTTATCGTTCCAAGCATAATTAGGGATTAATTGTTAACAATACAAGAATAACTAGGGATTAATTGTTATCATTCCAAGCATAATTAGGGATTGTATAATATTTTTTAAACATAGTCATAAGAATGAATAGTCTGGAATCACGGCCTGGGAACAATAGTTTTTGCGTTGATGAAAGGTTCTTGTACCCAGCCTACTTTAAGGCGTAAAACAAACAACTTTTTATAAAGAGTTGAAATAAAAGTGTAAAAAAAAAAAAAAATAATCCCTGCAGCATATTGTTCAATATATGGTTGTACTACTTCTTGCTATTCGCATGTTATAGCTATATACTGTCTTCTTAAAGGTCAAAGTTACAGACCATAATGCTCAATAGAGAAAAAAATCGATAGAGATTTTCACAAAGTTACACAAAGTTACAAACTATAATGCTCAATAGAGAAAAAAATCGATAGAGATTTTCACAAAGTTACACAAAGTTTCACAAAGTTACAGACTATAATGCTCAATAGAGAAAAAAATCGATAGAGATTTTCACAAAGTTACACAAAGTTTCACAAAGTTACAGACTATAATGCTCAATAGAGAAAAAAATCGATAGAGATTTTCACAAAGTTACACAAAGTTTCACAAAGTTACAGACTATAATGCTCAATAGAGAAAAAAATCGATAGAGATTTTCACAAAGTTTCACAAAGTTACAGACTATAATGCTCAATAGAGAAAAAAATCGATAGAGATTTTCTCAAAAGATTGTTTGATTGGTTCAGTTTAAAAAAAAAAAATGCTAATGAATCTTTAAATGTATGTGAGAGACATTTTAAAGAACACAAAGTTAATAGAAGTAAGCTAAGTGTTCACATATTCAAGTGTATGTAAGTGTATACAGCTCAAATTTTTCCATAATTTTAGAAAGCTGTTGGTATATGTGAACTAAAATGCAAGTTAAAAGTTATAGCAACAACTTGTGATGGTGCTGCTCCGAACCAAAAATTTTAAAATGCACTCACAATTATCTAATTTTAATGATAAAAAAGATGCAGCTGTCACATAAAACTATTAATCTACACAGTCCTGAAAGTTATATTTACTTTATATCTTATCCCTACCGCCCCCCATCCCCCACACACATCTTCTTAAAACAACAAGAAACGAGTCACATAGCAGACATTTTTAAAGAAGACCAAACATGTGGTTTCATCTACTTCCAAAATTATCAAATGAAAACATTAAATATCATCTTATTCTATTATGAACGCCAAATTGGCAGCTCAAGTTCTTAGCACTACTGTTAGTCCTTCTTAACTATGAATCTTCAGTTGCTTTTGCACAGCTAACTTAGGTTCAATGATTGACAGCTTTTTTGATATTATGAATATTAGTAATCAAATGAAATAAATTCAAAAGTCAAAGTCATTTTAAGTCCCATTTTCTTCTGTTGATGACTATCGTTTTACCTGGTGAAAAACAGAGCTTTTACCATATTTTGAAAAGTGGTTTAATTCCATTAATAATCATCAAATTAATTTTAATCTAAATAATAGAAGTAAAATGTTTATATTATGGCAAATCTAAAAAGGAAGTAAAACTACTGATAATTCTGCTGTTGATTTTTATAAAATTTTACTTTCTAATGATGTGTCTTATGTATTAATAAAAAGATTTTGTCAAGATTCACAAGAAAATTATTATGGACATCAACGCTAAATTGGTTTTCGCAAGGATAATCCATCTGTCTGTGATTCTAGCTATGATGGTAATACCATTCAAAATCAAAAAGACTTCAGACCTATAAAAGATGGTAATTTCTATGAAGATATTTCCTTTGACATTAATGAAGTACCATGCGAATAAAAACTTCTCTATAATACACCTATTTAAACGCCTATTTTCATAGCCACAAATTGTTAAAACACATTATTGGCTAAATGAATAGATACTTTATAAACCAATATTGATTTATTTGATCAACAAAAGATTAATATATTTAAAAATAGTTTATCATTATATTTTTCAAATATTCAAATAAATCTTTAGTTATAAAAAAACGTTTGTGTAAAAAAAAGTCCCTTGTTGAGCATTATTTTGAAAGCAAACATTGAATTTTTTTGGCTACTTTCATAAAATATAGAAAAACTTTCATGACTACTGAAAAACTCTTTCAAATCTATATAAGAGGCGGAGCATTTTTTGGTGTTTGAGATAACTTCCAGACATGAAGCGAACTCCAAACATTTATATCTTTATACCTGCTTCAAATATAGATGCTTTGCAAAAAATAACAATGATTGGAGCCTGAGAATAAAAAAGCTCCAAAATTCCCCCCCCCCTCCTGTCCCAAACGTGAGAGCAAGAAGTTGATAAGAAATTTTTTGTACTATTCTCAACTAGACTTATATTCATCAATAATTTTAAAGTTTTATATTTTTATCTCTTTATGTTCAAAAATTATGACCATATAAAATTTGTAACCTCCTTAAATTAAGGGAGGTTCAAACTTTAAAAGGTCTTAACTTTTGAACGCTAAAATATTTTACTATAAAATGGAAAAATTATTGATGAATAAAATCTAGTTGAGAATAGTACAAAAAATATTTTGCCAATATGCTGCTCTTATGATTGGGGCAGAGAGGCAAAAATTTTGTGAATTTTTAGTACTCATGCTACAATCATAGCAATTATTTGTAAAGCATATTGCAAATATTTGACATAAGTATAATCAAATGTTTAAATATTTTACAATCTAATTTTTTCAATATTTAATTCATAAAGATTTAGGTTTTTAAATATGGAATTTGTAATTAAATTTAATAAATATAAATAAAAAAAAACACAAACAAAACCCAAAATAATTTTGAGAAAACTAAATCTCAACCCTCCCTGATACTTATTTTATATACTCTCAAAAATATTGATCAAAAATGATCTGTGGTGCTAAACAAATTTGTTTATTAATTTCTAACTGGGGATTTAACCAAAGGGTGGGTGGGAATTTTCTATTCATATTAGTGAACTTATATTTTATAATTTTTAAGGTTGGTTTACCAAAAAAAGTTTTTAAAAGTCTTTTTTAAGCTTTAAAATATAATTTCCTTGTTGATAACAAGTATAAATTTTTAAACAGATAAATTTTTTAATTTAATAATTTTATTAAATAAAAAAATTTAATAAAAACTAGTATTATATACTCTGATACCACGAAAATGTTTTTAACCATTTGTAGCTATGAAATAACTGTTTTAAAATTGAGATATATCAGATAATTGTTTCCGATTTTCAAATGTTAAATTAACATATCGTTGATCTTAACATTAACATTAGCAAAAGTATCAGTTTCACTTCTAATCTTTGTGAATTAAATAATTAATTAAAAACGACCTGCGTTTCCAGACTATTTTTTTTATGACTGTGTTTTAAGTATATTATATATAACTGGTGTTAGATTTTCTTTTTAAGAATAATATTTGTAGCGATGGGTAAATGGTTCCTTAGGTTTAAATGTGAAGTAGGAATAACTTGACAGTCAGTAAAGCCTTTTGATAAATCTCTTAAGACTGCAATGTGATCAATATAGGATGAATTATTCAATGTTTTATGTTTATAGGTATAGGTATGACCAGTAAAGTTAATTATATCAAAAAAAGAGAGCTCACTTAATTCAAGAAAATTAGATGTTTAAAAACAAAATTGAAAAAATGAACAGCAATGAAACAAACAAAAAAAAAAAAGAGATTTCTAAAAATACCAGTAATGAAGCAAACAAAAAAGAGCTGAATATATAAGGAACATCAATATTACAATTGATGATTGCATGAAAAAACTATAACGTTATTTGTAAAAAATAGTCGGATAAACTTCAATTTTTTGTATCAAAATCACAGTAAAAAATATTCAAAGTAGATGATGTACTGACGATTCTTCGCAAAGTAGATGATGTACTGACGATTCTTCGCAAAGTAGATGATGTACTGACGATTCTTCGCAAAGTAGATGATGTACTGACGATTCTTCTTCGCAATAAATAAAACTTATTTCTCAGGCTATTAAACAACCCCACATGTTACTCTGTCATTCTAAACTTACAATTACCGTGTAATATATATATATATATATATATATATATATATATATATATATATAAACTATAGCACTATATAATGTGTAATATATATGTAAACTATAGTACTATATACTATAGCATTATGCCGTGTATAAATAATTAGAAATTATTTATAAACGGAATATTAACAATATATTAATATCAATTTGAACCAAACATACTCCAAATAACTATCAAAGTTAACACAAGGCTTTCAATACACGCCGTAAGCAATTAATGCATGTAAATTATATGTTGAGGCAGTTTTAAAATGATCATTCTAAATATGGAATTTAACAAAACAACGATTGAAATTTGGAAATTTAATTAATAAAACATTACCGGGACGTACTTAGCAGTTTTGAATTACTTTTACTTATATTTAATGTAATTATTGGGTGATTAAAAAATTGATAATAAAAAATAACGTTCTTAAAAATGCAAAAAAAAAAAATTTATATTGGATAAATTTCTGGAATATCAAAAATTTTTAGAATATAAAAAGGCGAAAATTTCGGGAATTTTCTTAATACTTTTAACATAAGTTTCACATCGAAATATTTTATTTTCATCTTGTTTAATGTAGCTGAATAAAATAGAGAAAATGTTGATGCAGAAAAAATACGAAAATATGAGAAAATTTACAAATTTATACAATTTCTTTAAAAATTATAATTGCCTAATGTTTTATTTTTTACTTTTAAAACATAAACACGTCAGCTTTACTAAACACGTCAAAACATAAACACGTCAACGCCAATAGCATGTAAACATGATTGAACAAGCTGCAACTTTTAGATCCCAAACTTAAAAGTGCCAGCAGCAACCATTCGATCAATTTTTGAACTATCCAATCCAAATGGATCCATTTTGAAACGATTAACACCAGCAAATCTAAAAGTATAAAATGAAAGTATTAATGGTTAATACTGATAAATAAATATATAAATATAATAAATACAAGGTTAACCCTAATAATTAATTGCAAAATTTAATATTATATAAACTTTGCTATTATGTATTTAATGTAACTAATTTTCCCACACAAATATTTTTTTTATTTTTCACATAACAATTTTAAACTTCCCAAATAGGATAAAACTCATGCTTTTGCGGCAAATCTTTCAAGAATAAATATCTTTTAAGAGTAAATATCTTTTAAGAATAAATATCTTTTAAGAATAAATATCTTTTAAGAATAAATATCTTTTAAGAATAAATAAGTGTGAAATTTAAAATATCTTAAAACTAAAATGATTTTTTAGATTTTAGTTTTTTTTTAATTTAGGTTCAGAAACCATTTCAAGTAGGGTTTACACAAAAAGCAAAATTGTATTAAATAAATATTAATAAGAAAAAAAAAAAAAAAAAAAAAACTTTTAACTTAAATAAAACTATTCTCTATAAATACTGTAAGAAATCTCTTATTAGACTCTTAACTGTTTTTCATAATTAATAACAAATGTAAAATGTATGCAACCAAAAACTACTAAACTAAGTATCAAAACAAATTGCTCCAATAAACAAACTACAACAATTAATGCATTCATAAAATGCCGAAATGTTCAACGGACGAAGTACGGTAATTAATCGCGAAAATAGGGTTGGGGCTTAAGTACATACATCGACTATTTAGGAAGAAAATGTATATAGGTGCTGCTACACTTATCAACTAGGTTCATCACTGAACATTATGTGTTTGACTATTTCCGTCTGCTATTTTAGGAGTATTTAGCAATTTAGGAGGCGGCCTTGCATACACAGCAAGTTGCTCTTCCTTTATTCCAGTAGCTTGCTTGAAGGTTTTTTCAACCCAATGATTTTCCAAAAATTCAGGTGGAACCCAGGTTTCTTTAATTAATTTAGCTGCTTCAATTCTGCATAGGTCATCCTAGGCATATTTTAAAAATCCGGAAAATTATTTGGATAAAATATCCGCAAAAAATCCGGAATTTGTTTTCCCTTAATTTCTTTTTAATTTCGCTTTTAGTTGATTCTAATTTTTTTAAAATTTCATAATTTTTCTATGAAGATGAGTGAAAAAGCTTAAAAAACAAATATATTACAAAAATATATACCTCAACTTGCATTTATTGAAAATGTTTTGGATATCCGGAAAAACTATAAGTTGAAAAAAATATCCGGAACTCCGGAAATATCCTGAAAAAGATAATCGCTGATTCTGTAAGCTGATCTTGCTATATGATCTGATGTTTTAGAAAGTTTAATATCATTATAAGTTTTTCCTAAAATAAGTAGTTGTTGCCTTTCACTTAAATCCATCAATAACTGTACTTTAACAGTTCTTTTTTGAAGTTTTTAGCGTTATCGCAGATTCGCATAGGAAAAGATGTATCTTTTGCTTTACTTTACAATCCTTCCAGATAGACTTGGTTAGAAGAGCATGTAACCAAAATTTTTTAATTATATTGCAAACTAGATGGATTGCAATCAATCTAGGATTGTTTTATTTTTTGTAAAACAACTCAATTTCATGGCAGCTTTCCTCTTTTAAAGTTTTGGAAAAACCAACAATCCAATGATTTAATAGAGAAGAATGTCTGCCTTTTTTAGCGGCAATAGTCTTGTTTATAGCAATAACTGTAATATGTAATTGGTCTAATGAACGTATTTTCATGGCTGAGTACTGTCTCTTCGGCTTCAATAGATAAGTTGTTTCCCAGTTTTTTACTAGGTCCACCAACCTTTTTTGATATGGGAGATATTGCCGTCGTTTAATACTATCCTGAAGCTTGTAATACAAACACTGTTGTTACAAACACGTTTAGATATAAACTTTATAAAGAATAAGGTTCATTAAAAACTTTACAAATTAAACTGTAGCACTTATACTTATTAACGTTTCAGCATGATTTTAAAAACTATTTTTTGCCTCGAGAGAATTTAAAACTTTAGACTTAATGACTTCCTTAATACAATTTCACAATATTAAATGCAATGGCACTAAAGTATTGAGAATAGAATGTTTAAAAAGTATTGGAATGAGAGTAACCAAATGGATTTATGTTACACAACATTTGTGGTGTTTTAAAACAAATTTTAAAACACTAGTTTTATAGAATTATTTTATAGAATTTGTTTTACTTTTAACCAGGGTTTTTTCCATCACTGGTAAAAACCCTGGTAAATTTTTTTAAATTTTATTTCAATAGTTTATATAAAAAAGTTTAAAACGAACCACCTTAAGCCCGCATCTCACCCTTTCCATCTCATGCTCAATAAAACCTTTTCTTTATATTAATGTTGAATGTAGTAGTAGTAGTAGTAGTAGTAGTAGTAGTAGTAGTAGTAGTAGTAGTAGTAACAACTCTTGGCAGTCATTACAACCAAGGTGATGGCGGAAAAGTCTATTAGCACGCTTTTATAAGGAAATATTGGAAATTTATACTGAGATAAATAAAATATAACAATATATCATTTAAAATTATGCAAATATAAAAACTCCATTTGTATAGCGTTATTTACAACCATCTGTAAGTATAAATGTTATAGCATAAGTTGAGTTTGTGGGTGGTATATGGAATTATTGTATATTATAAATGTATAATATATGTATAGTATATGTATAATATATGTATTATAAATGTATAATATAAGAAAACTTTAAAATTTTACATTAACAATAAAGTCTTTTTTTGCTATATATATATGTATTTTTTTTTTTGCTATAAATATATACGACAAGATTGAAAATGAATTATGCTAACAGAAGGATTTGAACCCTCCGAAACAACACTGATGACAGCGCACTAAACCACTGAGGTATCAAAGTTATGCATTGAAGTGAAGACCCATATTTTATGGGTTGGGCAGCTAGGATATAATACAAAAATTTATATTTTTACGGGTCTGGTCAGCTGGTTCTGTTATAATAGTTATAAGTCAGAAAAATGTTTTAAAGTTAGAATTTCAGAGAGTAAGTTGACTCAAGATAAGATATTAGAAGTTTGTTAATAAAAGGTTAAAAGAATGATAGTAATAATAAGACTGATTGGCTTATAGTTATCTCCAGAGTTTATAGTTATAGTTATCTCCAGAGTTTTTATGCTTATAGTTATAGTTATGCTTATAGTTATCTCCAAAGTTTTAATGGCTTGTAGTTATAGGGGTCTTCATAGTTTCCAAAACTTGGAACCACAGATATCATTTACCAACAGTAAGGAAAACAAGTTTCAATTAATGAATGGTAATAAAGCGAGTTCTGAGAAACACTTTTATAAGATAATCACATGAATGTTATCACAAGCGTAGAGATTTTATCCAGATCACAAACTGTAGAGATGTTAATCAGGACACAAGCTGTTGAGTTGTTACCCAATCACAAGCTGTAAAGATTTTATCCCCAATCACAAGATGTAGAGGAATTTAAGCAAGAAATAATTTTTTCACTTCAACTCCACTGCAGTTTGTGAAAGCAAGCATAATTTTCTCACTTCAAGCATAATAATTATGCTTGCTTTCACAAGCTGCAGTGAAGTTGAAGTTGAAGTTAAATTATTTAGATGTCAAGAGATTAACTTTTTTTCTTTTAGGATAAAAAAGCAAGGTCATTAGATTAAAGAAATGAATTGTAGTCAAAGTAGGAAAAGTTGTTTGCAAATAGTTCAGCCTTATCCTTGGAGAGACTTCATTAATGACGTTCAATATTTTAAAAAGTCTGTAGAACATAACTTACAAGATAAAATACGAGATTTACTAATCAGAATCTAAATAAAATAATGGACAAAAAACCTTTTTTGCGTTAATTTCAGTTAATTTCCAATATAAAAAAAAAAAAATTATAAAGGGATTTGTTGTTAAGAAAGTTATTCTGTTAAAAAAGATGAAAGAATAGATCATGATCAGGAATAAATGTTTTCTACCTGAATCCAGGAAATTTTAACGTCTGAATCCAGGAGATTTTATAGGTAGTGCAATGAAGAAAACTTCAATCATACATTATTATGATTTAACAAAAAAAAAATTTTCTTGTGATTTTTAAAGCTTTTAACTCAAGCTGTTATTATAACTTTAATCTTTGAAATTAATATTTATAAATTGTATTTTACTTGTCCAACTCTTTTTTCACTTTCTAAAAAGATTTTTGAGATATTCGAAAAATTAAAAAAAATTATCTATGACTATATTATTGTAACCATTGACAACTTCATTTGCTTAAAATCTTTGCTATTATTATAACCATTGACAACTTCATTAGTTTAAAATCTTTGCTATTATTGTAACCATTGGCAACTTCATTTGTTTAAAATCTTTATTATTTTCAGAAAGTTTTTTTTCAAAAAAACATTTTAGGATTTTGCAACTAAATGGGAGGATTTTGTTGGTCACTTAAGGTAACCATTTAAAAATAAAAAATAAATATTATTTAAACACAAATAAAAAACGTTAAAAATGTGTATAAATATTTTAATATGAAAAAAATAGTCAAGAAAATGAACAATGGTTACAAAAAAAAAATGATTTAAAACAACATAAATAGCAAAATTAAAACAACAAAAATAGCAACAAAAAAAATAACATTTAATTTATATCTGTAAAACATAGAAAATAAAAAAATGAAACTCACTTTGTATTGGTAAGTCGAATTAAAAACTTGAAATAAGTTGGACGTAAGTATAATGGTTGAACAAGAGCCTAAAAAAAGAACACTCCAGTTACCCATTAAAAAGAACATCCCAGTTAATTATTAAAAACAACACTCCAGTTACCTATTAAAAAGAATGCTACATTTTTTTTTAATTTTTATTATAATTCATCTCAAACAAGATAATAAACAACAATAGAAAACAAAGAAAAAGAACACCCGATTGCCCATTAAAAAGAACTCTCTAGTTACCCATTAAAAAGAATTCTCTAGTTACCCATAAAAAAATAACTCTCCAGTTACCCATTAAAAGGAATATTGAAAAAAAAAAAATAGAAATAAAATTAGATTTAAAAATAATTAAAATAAAGTTGACTTCAGTTCATTTACAGACATCAAAGCAATTATTTAGAGTTCATTTTGTTTATAATTAAAAACAAGGGAAAGTAAAAAGTATTGTATTTCTTTCCAGCAACAAAAAAATGATTGATAATAATGGTGTCACTTGTAGAAATCAAATGAGTGATACTAAATTAAATATTGACATTATTTTGATAATAGAGTTGTTCCTTCACTTTTCTTTTCATTTAAGTTAAAATAATTAGAACAAAATAATTTGGGGAAACCCATGCTAACATATTACATAAAAAATTGAAAAACTTGAAAAATATCTTTTTGAAAAGAAAAAAAAAAACATACAGCGTGGAACATTAATCCTGTAGTTAGTGCATATAACAATGAATCAAAATGTTTAAAGTAAGGAAACATTCCCTTTTTGATTCCACTCATATAGAGAGACTAAAAATCAAAAATATACAACTTTTATAAATTTATTTCGAAATAATCTAGAAAATGGTAAGCTTATGATTTTGAAAAACTATAAAATAATTTTAAAAACCTCCATGGTTTTGCTTGTCAAATAAATAGCAATGTAAGAACTCCTTTGAAAAAGCATAGCAAATCCGCTAATAGCACCTAAAAAAAAAAAAGATTTATTATTTAAGATAATCCATATTTAAGTAGTAATATGGCAATTATATTTACCAGCAATTGCTGATTTAGCAGGTGCACTGAGTGATTGGAATTTAGACAATGCTTTCTCTGTTAACTATTTAAAAATATATAATATATATATTATAACACACAGTTATGTAAATTTAAAATCTAGTAACAAAATAAATATACTTTTAAATTTTAATTTTTCTATTATCTATGATAACATAAAATAGGATAGACGAAAATACAATCTCATATATAAAAATTCACATATTTCTCTAACATTTAAATAAAACTATAACTTGTAATGCTATTTATTGCATTGTAAATTTCTATAATGTACTAGTATAGTAAATTTCTATAATGTACTTGTATAGTAAATTTATAATATACTTGTTGTATTGTAATTTAAAAATTTACTTGTTTTAAAAAATTGTACAATGTACTTGTTGCATTGTGATAAAAATTAAAAAGACATCAAAACAAACATAAATTTATAAAATTTACTCTTGTCTGACAAAATAGATATGATAACCTCAATAACAAGATTTTATGGACCACTCTAAATAAATTTTTTTTTTTTTTTTTATATTTTTTTATTAAAAAAAAAAAATATTACCTTGAATATAGCCACTAAACTACCCAAGAAGGCTCCAGAACAAAAATTTGCTTTAGATATAAGTGTTTTTATTAACTGACCTATTAAAATTTATTAGTAAAAAAGTAAAAAATTATAAAAACATATTTATAAATAACTATTCTAATAAAAATTACTAATTATAAAAATAAAAATTATCAAAAATATTCTTATAAAAATTACAAATTATTAAGATTTAACAAATTCTAAAAATTTTACATTTATAAAAAGTTAGTTACACATTCAACTTATTTCATTTGAATTGCTAATTTATTAATTTATTGTTAGTTTATTGAATTTCAATTTGAAATGAATTTGAATTGTTAGATTTAAAATTATGGAAATCTAAAGTAGACTCTACACATGCCAAATATAACTCTACACAAGCCAACCTATAAAGTTTTTAGCTTAGTTCTAATTTTCCAACAATTGTACCCACAAACTCAACCCTTCTTATAAAGATACCCTGGTTTAATGATCAAAATGCAACAAAACTGAATAAAATTGGAGAAAGGAAATAGCAAGCACAAAAAAGAGAAACTTAGCAAATGCTAACTTTACAATGAGTTGTATATATATATGTATATTATATATATAGCCATACTAAGAAGACATAAAGTAGAGGAATCAGTGAGAGTATTGTGGTTCATCAATATACAAATATTGCAACAATATTGCAATAGTTGTTTGCAATAATAAATGAGTTTGGTTGGAGTTAAAATTCACAAGCCATTGCAAGTCCCAAGATAGAAGAGAGATCAGATTCATGATCGGCCTGTTCTAAACAAAATAGAAAAGTAAAGACTTTTTGTCAAGATAGGAGTAAAATGTTGGTAAGAAAAGAGTATAATGACTTTTTGTCAAGATAGGAGTATAATGTTGTATCATTAGCAAATTGAGCCACTTTAGATGTAATGTTGTCAGGAAAATCATTAATGTAGATAAAAATCAATACAGGGTTGAGGAAAGAACCTTGCGGTACCCGTTACTGGAAATGATGAAGAGTATTAGCCTTAAAACTGCAGTTAAAATTTTCGCTTATATAAAATTTTTGCTAAAAATTTTATATAAATTAATAAATTTTATAAAACCTTTTTGTTGTATAATCGAACTGTATATTAAAAATTTTTTTTTTTGCTCGTTGTCTTTCATTCAACCAAACATCAATTAAATGAAACTTATTTTTAAACAACTTAAACAAAAAATTTTATATAAAACTAATGAAATTAACAGAAATTAATGAATCAATGGAAATTAACAAAAAAATATCGGTCCGTTAAAAAATTTTAACAGAAATTTTCCCTTATTACTATTCATTAACGGTAACGGACGGATTTACTGGACGTAAAAATTAAACGCCCATGCTTACTAATAATAGAGAGAAAACTGATTGGAAAATTGTTAGGAGTCAGAGTGTTAACAAGGTATTTTAAAAATTGAAATCAGAGATGCCATTTTACAGCAGACAACAAGAAAACAAGACTCAATAAAGCCCTTATTAAATAGTTTAAAGAGAATTGAAAAGAGTTCTGGAGAACTCTCATCGATTTATATTGATATGAAGTATTATAATTTATATTGATATTATGCTGTTAAATATTTGATGTGCAGTTTAATGATTAAAGGTCATTTATAACTTAAAAAATTATACTACCCTGGGACGTAAAAAAGAAGAACCGTTTAAAAGACTTTTAAACATCTTTTGAACAGTTCAAAAGATGTCTTTTTTAGGTCCTGTGCCCACTGGGTAAAATTAGAACTAGAAACCCTGGTTTTAGGTTGACAATATATAGAAATAAATGTATATTCACCCAAAACATCTTTTTTTCAAATGTATTATGCAGTGGTAGAGTAGTGATAGTAATAAAACATGTAATAAACATGATAGTAATACCACGCAAACATATAAATTGATTGAAAAATTAATTGCTGTAAACATATAAATTGATTGAAAAATTAATTGCTGTTATTGGTTTGGATTTGGGTAGGCAAATTTGGTAAAAAAAAAAATACACCAAAATTTGCAACTTTCGTTCGTAAAGTCAGGGAGCCAGAGCTGAGCTGGAGCCAGGTATTTCTTAGGAGCTGGAGCCAAGTCATAAAAAAAACTTTCGGCTCCACAAACCTGGTTTGGACCAAAAGATGTAGAAATTTTTAGTAGAGAAATAACTTTAGCAAGGGTAGCCACAGTAATTTGGATGTTTAACAATGAGTTAACCTGTTCAACTGGAATGACAGGAAGAGTATGGTCATTAAATTCAAGAGTTGAGTTAGAAGAAAAGTGTTTTGTAAATAGCTCTGCTTTATTCTAGGGAGAGGTAATAAGATCAAACCTATGAATTAAAGATATAATGTTTGACTTATCTTTGTTAATGGCACTGTTATAGTATACATTTTTGTTATTATACTGTTATTATAGGCAGACAGTTTTTAAAATAGACCAATTGAATTTATAATTATAATTAGACAATTATAAATAATAATAATAAACAATTATAAACAAAAACAATTATAAAATACATAATAATATAATATAAACATAAATAATTATATTATAAAAAAATATATAAAAAATTATAATATAAGAAAATATAAATAATTATAAAATAATAAAAACAATTATATAAAAAAAAAATATATAAACAATAATAAATAGACTAATTGAATTTATAATAGACCAATTGAATTATAAATAATATTTTTTTCTTTTATTTGCCAAATATATTAAGAGACAGCAGTCTCTTTTAACTATTCTTTATATTTAAAAGATTGGATGTGGTTGACATAAAGTTTTTTTTCCATTCTCCTTTGGTTATGCCAATATATTATTTATCAGGGTTATTTGTGAGGAAACAATGTATTTGTAAATAATATTTTTTTATAAGCATTTTCAATTCATAGGGAACTCAATTATTTGTTTGCAATTAAAATTTTTAGTATATTTTTTATCTTTAAGAAATTCATTTTTATTAATCAGTGCAACAGTGTGGTCTTTCATAATTCTTTCTATATTTTTTGTACAGCTATAGCTAAATTTAATAGTACTTCTGTTAAAAATTTTGTGCAATTTATTAGAGGGTGAGAATTATTTGTCTATTAATTTTAAAAACCATTATTACATCGTCGCAATGTTGCTTCTATTTCTCTTTTCTACGAATACCTTAATGGGCACTGCTCTAAAGAGCTAGCGTCTCTTGTTCCATTTACTAAAACTCATTCTCACGTTACTTGTCATTCAATTAAGTCTCGTCTTTTTTCTGTAACTGTTCTTAGGTGTTTTAAAAACTCTTATTCGCCTAGTTTTTTTTTCCTTGACCATCAGTTTTTTAGAACTCCCTTCCTTCATCTTACTTTCCTGATTTATAAAATTTGCTATCTTTTAAGTCTTTTCATTTTTTATCTTCCAGTAACTTCCAACTCTAATAGTGGTTGAAAAAATTGAAAATATTTTAATTTAAATAAATATGCATACTTTTAACAAATATACAGACTTATAACTTAAACAATTATATATACTTTCAATTTAAACAAATATACATAATTTTAATTGGAAAAGAAACTAAAAACTGCGGGAAGAAATTCTGATCTAACTAATCCTTTTTGAATTCTCTAATGTTACGCTAATCAGCTGACAATTAGTTTTCCCTTTTTTGACATATCAAGTTTTTTGACACATCAAATTTAATGAGTTTGTATGCAGCACCTAATGTATCTTTACAATATTCAAGATATTGTAAACTATGTTTTAAAATGGGAAGAAGAAAGTTGAGGAAACAATAATTAACTTAATTTTACACTTGAATATAGATAAATAAAATAACAGAATGTGGTTGTAAGCAACATATACATATATTTAAGCTAACCTAAAATATAACCCTATAAACATTAAAAACCCCAAATATGTTTGTAAAATTTAATTATGGAAACACTTTACAAAAATGGTAACTTTTCACAGTTTTCTTTTTAATAGATATCCTTTCTGAAACATGAATCATGGAGGATTTTACCTTTCTAGAAGACAACAACCTTTAAAGTCCACAGTATTTTTGCATTCAGAGTGCATGCTTGAAGAATGTACAATTTAATAGATTTGGGAACCTTTGAAGATGCTTTGAATTAACTAGATTTCATAAATGCCATTGGTTGTTTGACAATAAAGATAACTTGATAATTTATAGTCGCTTCTTAGATATTTCTTATCTAACTCATGACTGGTTCTTCATGACTCCTCATGCTACTTAAATTGAAACTACAAATGCTTAGTCTACATCTTGAACTCAATACTGTTTTATCTAAAGATATTCATTTTAATTATTATTAACTAATTTCATCACATAAAAGATTACTTTTATTATTCAATTAATATTTGTTTAAAAAAAATCCATTCATTCATTCATTCTCATGACTTTTTCCATGATGAAAAAAAAAATTAGGAATTCTATGACTTTTTCCATGATGATAAACTATGGGCCAAAAAATTAGACATTCAGGACCAAAGGAAACTCTATGAAAGTTTTATGACTAGTGGCCACCTGCTTTGTAGCAGTTTGCCTGTATAAATTAGTGTGTGCAACTGAAGTCTTTTACCTTTGGAATTTGTAAACAATTTTAATACAATAAACTTACTACTTTACAAAAAGAAAAAAGGTAAAATAATAAAAGAAAAAATACAATAAAATAAATTTAAAATAAAAAATAAAATACGCAAATATAATAATTTTTATAATACTTTTTTTAAATATTTTATATAAATAAATTAGTTTTTAAAAAATATTTAAAAAAAACCAACAAATGATAAAACAATAGTAATAATAAAAATAACATAAAACATATAAAACTACTTACTAGGATGCTTATATAGCCGAGATATTGTTGTTAGCAAATTAAATGAAGCTTGCAAGCTATATCCTGCAAGGAATGCTTTGCCAGCTAATTCACAGCTAAAATTGAAGGTTGTAATAAAAACTTTTAACAATGTTCTTAAAATAAAAGGTTGTAATAAAAACATTTAAAAATGTCCTTAAAATTGTAATAAAAACATTTAACAATGTTCTTAAATTTGAAGATTGTAATAAAAAAATTTAGCAATGTTTTTAAAATTGAAGGTTGTAATAAAACCATTTAACAATGTTCTCAAAAGCATACTAACTAATAAGAACATAGTTCAAACAAATCAAACAAATCATAGTTCAAACAAATGTTTCAAAGAATTATAACTAACCTGGTTTTAATATAAGTAACATCTTCATTATTTTTAACTGATTTATTTAATTTTTTCTCACCAAGAACTTTCCTAAAAATAAAACAAAATTCTGAATGTTATTGTAAGTAAAACAGTATTTATAAATAATTATTTATAATAATCACAAGACTTATTTTTTACTGGCTTTTTAATTTTTTTTTGAAACTACTGCTTTGTATTGGCTTTGTAAAGATAATTTTTTGTATTATTTTATAAAAAACCTAAAATACACAGCATATACATAACAAATTTAAAAGAAAATAAAAATTGTTATAAAAAAAATGTTGTCTTTAAAAAAAAACAAAAGTAATGTTTACATTATTTATTAATTTTTCATTCACAAAGAAAAAAAAAATATTTTTCTTACTGCAAAATATCTTTAATAATACCATCTGGTAAGTTATTTGATCTAAAAATTAGGAAAACAAATTGATTTTCTATCATACTAGATATATAAGACATAAAGCCAGTCTCACCTTTAGGGTACCAAATTTCTAACAACTTAAATTCAAAATTATATTTCAAAACATATGGGTATTTCTTGCCATCAGGGTACCAAATCTTGAACACCTTACTTTATTTTCAAAGAAATTATTTGCTAAAATTTTAGAGAATAAAAATCTAACTCTATAATGATTGAGTTTTTTGGCACCAAAATCTCAGTATATAAATTCCAAACAAACATACATTTTTTTTTTTTTTAACATCTTTGCTTCCCACAAGGCTGCAAGCAACCACTGATTAGTGTTGGAAGTTTTAGTAGATGGCACAAGAGACGCTAGCTCTTTAGAGCAGTGCCCATTATAGTATTTGTAGAAAAGAGAAAGAGAAGCAACATTAAGACGATGTGACAAAAGTTAAAGGTTGGCTGCAAGAGCAGGTCCAACTATGTTTACAATGCGTTTTTGCACCTTGTCTGAAAGAGAAAGGGTATCTTTAGAAGATCCGCCCCAGATATGGCAACAATATTCCATATTCGGGTTTGAGATTTATAGAGATAGAGAATAGAATCCAGAGTAAGAAAGTGTCGAGCTCGATAAAGAGATGCAACTTTAGCAGATGCTAATTTTTCAACGGATTTGATATTAGGTCTCAAAGAAAGATCAGAAGTGAGAGTTAAGCCTAGAAGATGAAGGGTAGACTCATCGAGTACATTACTGTTCATAAATATAGGAAGGTCTAAATTATTGCGATAATGATTGGCTGAAAAAAATCGAGTTTTATCTGAATTAAAGTTCACCAGCCACTGTGAGCCCCATGCTTTAGCAGAAGTGAGATCCTTTTCAAGCTCAAATGCCCCCTACAAGCAATCAGAGGGAATTGGTTTCTTATCAAGACGAAAATAAATGGTAGCATCATCAGCAAACAATACCAACTTAGATGTGAGAATATCTGGAAGATCGTTAATGTAAACTAAAAAGAGTATAGGGCCAAGGATTGAACCTTGAGGAACCCCTGAGGTTACAGAATAAGAAGAAGAGTGCTGTCCATCAAGGACAACTTTATTATTACGATTGGAAAGAAAAGATTCAATAATTTTAAAGATGTTTCCAGATAGACCGTGAGAATAAAGCTTATGGAGAAGACCAGCATGCCAAACTTTATCAAACGCTTTAGAAATGTCAAGAGCAATGGCCTTAACCTCTCCACCTTTATCTAATGCGCTATACAACCTATCGATTATTACTGTTAGCAAATCAGCCGTAGAACGAGAAGATCGAAACCCATATTGCTGATCAAAAAGTAGGTTATGAGATTCAAGATGAGAGATTAAATGTTTGTTAATTAAAGATTCAAAAACCTTGCTTATGATAGGAAGAAGACTAATGGGACGGTAGTTGAATGAATCGGATAGCTCTCCAGAATTTTTAAAAATAGGAATAACAGATGCTGCTTTCCAGCAGGCTGGAAAACAAGACTCTGATAAGCACTTGTTGAATAGTTTTGAAAGGATAGACGACAGCTCCGGAGAACACTTCTGCAAGAGTATAACAGGTATGTTGTCCGGGCCGCAAACTGTAGAACAGTCTAAGCAGGAAATCACTGTAGATACAGAAGCTGGAGTGATACGGATGTCGAGCAACGGATCAACCTGTTTGACATCTATATCAGGTAGAACGCAACTAGTGGAGTGAAGAGATGATATTGATGAAAAGTTCTTAGCAAACAATTGAGCTTTGTCTTTAGGTGAGGTGACAAAGTCTGAACCATACAAAAGAGGTTGAATTACAGACTTGCCCTTATTATTGATACTATTAAAGATTCTCCAGAGGTCACGAGAGCCTAATTTTTGTGATGAAATACGAGATTTCATGATCTGAGAATAGCGGGCTTTGGCGTTAGACAAAACCTTTTTACAATGGCTCCTAGCAGTAATAAACAGACGTCTGTTTTCTGGAGAATTGTTTTGCTGATATATATGGAAGTAATGGTTTCGATTGGCAATTGCAGCAGCACAATGCGAGGAAAACCATGGAGAAGAGTGAGGCTCAACCTGGAATCGTCGAGAGGGAATAAAGGATTCCATGCCAGCCTGAATCCACAAAGTTATGTAAGAAGCACATTTGTCAATAGGAAGACAAAAGATTTCTACCCAGGGGCCATCACGAAGAAAATCACGGAAAGAGTCCCAGTCAGCTTTAAGGTAGTTGTAAGATGTACGATGATAGGGGGATTCTGATAATAAAGAAGAATGAGATAATAGTTTTAGAGAGACCAAACCATGATCGGAGGCACCTAGGGTGAGTGTGGGAAAACTGAGCACTGAATAGGATCAGAAACAAGATATAAGTCAAGTAGAGAAGGTAAATGATTCGGGTTATCTGGAAAGCGAGTTGGAAAGTTGACTATTTGAGTTAGGGATTAAGAAAGTCAAAAGTTGTGGGCCTTAATGTCTGCAGAGTCACTGACACTAGAGCCAAGCCATTCAGTGTGATGAACATTGAAGTCACCGACAACAACAATATCGGCTGATGGATAAAGAGAAAGGGCTTGGTCAATATGATCAGAAATAACATTAAGAAGAGTGCAGTCTTGGGATGAGGGAGAGCGATATAGAACAAAGAGAAAGGTGATAGAGTGAAGTGGTGCTAAACAAAAGTACATAAAAGAGTAGTCTGTGAATTTAAACCTAGTTTCCCGACAAATAGGTGAATTCTTACGAATGTAAATGCCCAGGCCAAGCATGTGACTATTGGAGTCTTTACGAATTAAAGGAAGATAACCATCAACACTAAGATCAAAAGATGAGACAGCTGAACTCAAATTAGTCTCACAAAGAGCAAGTAGGTCTGGTGAACTTTGCAAGAGATAAGACTCAACAGAAGAAAAGTTACTTCGAAGACCACGAATATTAGTGAATGATAGGTTTAGCGAACTTGGTGATGACTGTAGTTTTTTGTGTTTTATAGTTTTTGTTACTTTATTCATTTTTAAATTTGTTAAAGAACTTGACTTGAAACATAGATAGTACTCAGTACACTGTTTTATAGCCCAAGCAATTGCCTCATTTCTATTAATAAACCCTAAGCCGTAACAAAGGGCTCCAATGTGGCCTTGGCAATGCACACCAAAAGTACAAACAGGGACACCATCCATGTGCAACATAGCACTGTTAGTACTCTGATATTTTTCAGCTGTTGATGGAATCAGCCTCTTTGAGAGCTACCACAGAGTTCGGAAAACCTGACTACCAGCCGGCCTCAAAACCATAAAACTGAGTTTTAGAGCTGTACCCTCATTTGGAGATATTTGAATGAGTTGCCTAGTCATAAAAACAGAGACACAAGGGTGTCACAAGGGTGAAGGGGTGCGACGCTGGTCAACAGATAGAATCTGTTTACCCCTTAAGTTTTTGCCTAGGAGGCCTTCTAAAAGACAGCAGCCGGATGCATGTAACATCTGCCCAAGATGAGTATTTTTATCGAGACACTATCTCTAGCCTTTACTCAACTAAGAGCCCCAAGGCAGAGGTGTTTTATGTCAGAGTTTGCATCTCCTAGCCTTTGCCTAAAAAGACGTATCCTACAAGGCAGCAGGACATGAAGCAGATTGAACTGGGTTACATGTTACCATTAGCAGGATAAACCTGACCTGACTTATATAAACCTGACCTGACTTGGCAAAAGATATTTAGAATAAAATCATTGACTTGATTGGCAAATCCATATATATATATATATATATATATATATATATATATATATATATATATATATATATATATATATATATATATATATATATATATATATATATATATATATATATATATATATATATATATATATATATATATATATATATATATATATATATATATATATATATATATATATATATATATATATATATATATATATATATATATATATATATATATATATATATATATATATATATATATATATATATATATATATATATATGGCACATACCTATATATATTTGGCACATACATATATATATTTGGCACATTTTTAATTCTTTTGTTGAAAGTCTACTCATAGAGTTTTTTGAATTTATTTTATTAGTTTTATCGAGTGAAACTTGTGAATCAGTAGACTTTCCAGGAAAACATTTCTCAATTTTGTCATTAGTGACATCTTAAAAAATAGTGCCGACTGCATTTTTATTTGGAGTTATTTTTGAACAATTGAGTGGAAATACGCCTGTATTTTCAAAACCACTATGTACATTTTCCGCTTTAAAGCCTTTATTTGCAATAAGGTCTTTTAGCATGGCTGGAAACTGCCAGTTACTTAAACTTAAATAAGAATTTCTAACCAAGTAAACTTCTACAAATAGCCTCCATTCTGCCTTTACTGTTTTAAAAACCATAATATCTAGCGGTTGCAAAAAATGACTTGTGTGAGCTAGCAACGCAATATAATTATGTTGCTTGATTCAGATAATCTTTTAAATTAAAAATAAAACTTTAGATTTTTGAAGTATGTTTGTGTGAACTAAAAAAATTGAACAAAACCATTCTATGAAATTTTTGCTTTCCATCTAACCTGATTTGCTGGTAGAATGATCAACATCAGAAGCACCACCTTGAAAACAAACTTTCATCAAATTTCGACCTTAGTAAACAACTTGATAAGGTAGGAAATTTTCATAGCATTGCAACAGGTTAAAATTGTAGTCATATGTTTTCATTTGTTGGGGCAAGCTGTTTTGGATTTTTTATTCCTTTTCAACAAACAATGTTGATTTTACCTTGATCGAATTTCAATCCACTTTCATCACAGTTGAACACATAAAACGGTTTTTCATTTAAATTATGCTTTCGATAAACACCGTCAACTTGGCTAAACCATTCATCAATAATTGCTGGTTGCAAAGACACCGCTCTTACAGCTTGCATGCTAGTAGCTTTTCTTTTACAGATATTTTTTGCATATTTTTTCATGAAACTATTGTACCACTTTCGATTAGGTTTACCGGTCTTGAATAAATGAGTTTGTTTAGATTCCTTCATATAGTTTTTGACCACAGTTAAAATATAATTTCTTTTTAAGCTGAAGCCAATCTCACTCATAAACTGTACAAGTTCAACTATAAGCCTCTCCGTTACTTGGCTTATTGCTCTGGGCCTACCAACACCAGCAGCTCCATTTATTTCTTTTAGTCTGCAAAAAATAGTTGTTTTAGGAATGTTGTAAAAGCGGCTTCTGAATATGACATCTTAATATTGATAGCTTTTATTATTGATAGAGTTTAATTTTTTTTCGCGATCTTAATTTTTTTTAAACTTTGACATCTTTTTTATTATTAACAAATGTTAAGATAAAAAAGACATTTAGAAATTCAATAAAAAAGTTAAAAGTGTTTATTAGTTTCTAAGTTAATGTCATTAAAATACCATTGTTAAATACTGTTGTTAATTACTTGCACGTAAAAACGCTAACTTTTACAAAAAAAGTGCATTCTAAAATCTGTTCAGAACTTGGGAAACGTTTTAGTTATGCAGAAAAGTACTGTTTTTAAAACCTTACAAAGTATTGCTAATTTTTGACTTTTTTTTTCAGATGAATAATCACCATCAAATTTCACATCGAACAGTACCCAATTTAAATTGTCTTTTTTTTAAGTCAGTTTTATATTGTTGGTTTTTCAGGGTTTTTAAAAGTGTTTCGCTTGCAATTAAAAAATTTAATGGTATCAACATATATTTCAAAAATATTTTTTCATATTCTCATCTTCATTCTCATCCTAGTCTTCCAATTTATTAATTAATTTTCCTTTTATCCAACAAAAATAAAAGATGTAACAATATGTGAACTAAAGCTGTTCGGAATTAGGGACTGTTCTGAATTAGGGAAATCTAAGGTTTATAACTAATATCAACTTTTGTGTTAATAACAGTTACTATATATAGTCTATAGTTGTGTTAATAATGGTTACTATATAGTCTATAGTTGTATTAACAATAGCTACTATATATAGTCTATATTTGCATTAATAATGGCTACTATATATAGTCTATAGTTGCATTAATAATGGCTACTATATATAGTCTATAGAACTCTAAGATTTATATTACAGTTATATTAAAACTCTCACAAATACCAAAAAAATTTTGCAAGATGTAAAATTCAATGAACAAACAACTTTTAAAAACTAGGATTATTGATTAAGAGCTGTTTTTGTCTTTATTTTTTCAAAAGTTGAAATAAAAATATTGATTTAAACTAGCCTGACTTAAACCCTTTTAGGTTGTTTTTTCTTCTGACTTCAGCCCTTTGGATATTGGGAAAATGAATATATATTTGAATAAACAAAGTTAACAATTACTTAGTGAACTGATCAAGTTAATATATAATTAATTACCTAATAATATATAGAATAAAAATAATTTTTATAAACAGTACATTAAATATAAATTATATTTTTTTAGTTAAAATAACAAAATATATAGTTAGAATAAAAATATAAGATATTTTTTTTATTTTAGCCAAAATTTGTTGGTCAAACTCTTTAAATTTTTTTAAGTGCTGGGCATTTTTACACATTATTTTACAGTGCAGTACACTTTGTGATATGCACAGTGGGAATTATAAACCATAAAGCACAATGGCATCCAATTAAGTTAGTGGCTCAACAACTTAATAATAATTATAAAAAATTAAACAAAAAGCTTACCTGAATAAATACATTGTAATAGAGAGTGATCCAGCAAATAAAAATACCTAATAATTAAAAAAAAAAAAACGTAAAAAATCACACATGCAACCCTTCATAGCAAAACAATCAACCATGAAATTATTTATATATTCAAAACAAATTATTTCTAAGCTTTCTAAAACAGTTATTTATGTTGATAATTCCAATTAGGTTTATATTAGTTTTCTTTAAGTTTTTTTTTTTTCTTTCAAAAAAATCTATTATAAAGTAAAAAACATTGTGTGTGTGTGTGTGTGTGTGTGTGTGTGTGTGTGTGTGTGTGTGTGTGTGTGTGTGTATAATATTTCACACACATTGGAAAACAACATACATTGGAAAAAGCACAATGATGATCATTGTATTATTTCCCTGTCTTTTTTTTTAAATAGAGAATAATTATTTTCTTATTTTTCTTACTTGTTTTACATGATTGTAAATCTACCATAAATATATAAATCATTAAAGAATTTTTATATTTGTTAATTTTGTACATAGTTGAAGATTTTATACGAAAGGCCTTCTGTGTTTGTAAAAACACTTGTTTTGAATTTAATAATAAAATTTACTTATTATAGTTTGAAATCTTTGGTTGAATCTTTAACTTCTATTTGTTAACCGATTTGTATACATTTTAGAAGAGTGTGGTCATTAGATGCAAGATTTGTAAACATTTTAGAAAAATGAGGTCATTATAGTCAAGATTTGCAAACATTTTAGAAGAGTGTGGTAATTAGATTCAAGAGACGAATTAGAGGTTTTTTGCAAGTAGTTCTGTTTTATCTTTAGGATAGGATTAAGATCAGACTAATATATTAGAGAATGTTAGACCAGAAGCAGTGTCATATTAGAGAATGTTAGACCAGAAGCAGTGTCATATTAGAGAATGTTAGACATACCTTGTTAATGATTTTATTAGAGAATGTTAGACCTTGTTAATGACCTTGTTAATGACATTGCTCAAGATTTTCCAAAAGTTTCTCCTGAGAAAAAAAGTGAAGAATAATAGAGCTACTGTACTATTTGTATTAATTTCTTGCAATAATAACAAGTTTTTTTTTGTGAAAAAGATGATTACAATAAGAAATACCAGCTGCACAAAAAAGGTGAAACCATGACTAAAAAAGGGTTTGACTAAAAACCATGGGGCTTGACTAAAAACCAAGGTGCTTGACTAAAAACCATGAGACTTGACTAAAAACCACAGGGCTAGACTGAAAACTATGGGGCTTGACTAAAAACTATAGGGCTTGACTAAAAACAGCTGAGAAGAAATAAAAGCTTAAATGCCTACCTAAATTTAGAAGATTACATAAGAGGAGCAATTATCAGAGTAGAGATAAAAAAAATAAAAAAAAAAAGAAAACCCAGTCAGCTTTAAAATGACAACATTAGTTGTAAAGTGAAAACACAAGTTGGGTTCGTATTTTAAATAAACCTTAGCAAGTTAGTTTAGAGTTAATTAAAAAAAAAAAAAAATTATTTATTGAGATATTAACAAAAAAACTTTTTCATTTTTAACACCATTTTGTTTTTTCGAAAAGGAAAGTTTTGGTTTGTTGATTTATTCTTTCAAAAAAATCTGATTTATCCATTTATCTTTGATGACAATAAAAATAAATTGATAAAGTTAAATATATTTTGGTGTTTGAGTTTTCCATCTTTTATATTAGGTATAAGAAAAATTTTCCTTTTTTATGATGATAACTTGCTATTATTATAAGAATTTTTTTTTAAACTTTGAAAAATTTTAAGAATACAAGAATAAATTTTAAGAATATAATAGTTCAATGGAGAGAAGTAAATATGAATGCTTCATTAGTATAATGGAGATAAGTAAATATGAATGCTTCATTAGTATAATGGAGAGAAGTAAATATGAAAGCTTCTTAGTATAATGGAGAGAAGTAAATATGAAAGCTTCATTAGTATAATGGAGAGAAGTAAATATGAATGCTTCATTAGTATAATGGAGAGAAGTAAATGTGAATGCTTTATTAGTATAATAGAGAGAAGTGAATACGACTGCGGGTTTTTAAAAACAAGTTGATCTAATAAAATCTAAAAACTAAAAATAATATTTTTGATAGTGAAAAATATATAAATAAATTTGTTTGTGAAAATACTGCTTTTTAAACTACTTATATTAAAGTTTTTTCAATATAAGTAGTTTTAGAATCATATTTAAAATGTTTTATATTATAATAGAAACTCAAATTTTAAATGTTTCTTACCTGCAATCTTATAAAAATAAATCTTATCTGCAACAGCTAATAAGTCATTTTTTATATCTTTCTTCCAAAATTTGTTGAGCTACTTTATATATATATATATATATATATATATATATATATATATATATATATATATATATACTAATTATAAAGCATAATAAAATTACTTAATAACAAAAATATAACTTATTTAATCACCAAAAATAATCACAAACAAAAAAATTTCAATATTTGGGGGCATCCATAAAATCCATATGTACACAGTAAAACCACTGTTTTAGAACCCCCCCCCTTCACATATTTGCAACTATATGCTTTCAATAACCCCCATCCTCTGCAACATACACATTATTCATGATAAAATCAACCCCCCTTATTCCCTAAATGCATATATTTTTAAAACATTGAAAACAAAAAAAAAATTTAAGTTAATTTGACATTTCTATGTTACATAACACTGATTTAGGATCCCCCAATGTATGCACCTGAATACTTTTAACAATACTCTCCCCCCCCCCCCTCGTCTGCATACATAGTCATTATGCATTACAAAAACAACCCAAATAATTAAAAAAAAAAAAATCAATCCTCCCTTCCCCAATGCATGAATATTCAAAACATTAAAAACAAAAAAACTTAAAGTTTATACAATATTTCTGTTACATAACATTATATTGGTTTTTAAAACTCGTGAAACTCAATTGTTTTGTTAAAAAAAATAAAGAGATAGAAAAAATAAAGAGAGAGCAAGAAATAGTCAAAAGACGTTCATATAACTGAGTTGAAAAAACTTAAACAAGATAACTACTTTGATGCTTATTCCCTTATTTATGACATTATGGAAGAGTTGAAACAGTTTTCTAAGAGTGGATGATCTTCCTGGCATCTGTTTAGCTAAGTATTTTTATTGTAATAGTACTACTCAATCTAGACAATTGTTATTGATTAAAAAAATAACTTAACTATAAAAAATTTATTTAAAAAAAGTAAAAAAAAACAAAAAACAAAGAAACTAATTAAGTTTTAAAAATTAAGTTTAAACTTTTAAGAAAAATTATTAGCTGCATGCAAAAAAGAGAGGCACAAAAGAAGCTATATATATTAGGAATGTGACTTTTTGGTATCTCCAGTTTCCAATATTAAAAACAGCTGAACATTGGTTTGAAAGCAACTGAAACGTCATTGGTTTTATTAAATTTTTGAAAAAGGTCTCCCACCATGACCCTTGATTACACACTGGTTTCCATATATCAATGAATTTTTATTTTTCAAAATCTCAAAGGAAGCAGAGTCTCAAAAGAAGCAGAATTTTATAGTGATTTCAAAATTCATAATCTTTTCTACTAAAACATTTTTTTAATTTTTTTTTTTGTTAATTCACTTCCTTAAGGCCAAGAAGGCCACTACAGATGAGGAGGTTAGTTATTTGCGGTAACAACCCTTCTCAATTCTATAACTGGGAAACACGAACCTTGATGAACAAGGCAGCTGCGCAGAGAAAGAAGTTGAAAAAAATATTGCAAACAAAATGTCATAAAAAGTGACCTTTTAATTTTTAGTTTAAAATTGTTGTTTTTTGTATATAAAATTTAAGCAATTCATTTTTATTTGAAACCACTATTATTTCTGAAATCTCTATAAAATTCTGGTTCATTTGAGACCCAGGTTTATATACTTTTGAAAAAAATTCACTGATTTATCGGAGCCAGTATTAAGAGTTATGGTGGGTGACCTTTTTCAAAAATTAAATAAAACCAATAACTTTTCAGTTACTTTCAAACCAAAGTTCATCTGTTTTTTATATTGGAAACTGGAGTTACCAAAAAGTAACATCCCTAATATACATTAAAGCTACTTGCAAGAAGGTTTGTAATAAAAGCTTTTAAATTTTTATTTAATCTAATAGGCCAGGTGAATAAATAGGTAATAAAAACTTTCATTACCTATTTATAAGCGTTTTTGGAGTAATTTGTTAGTTTTACGTGAATAAAAATTTAAGCAAACTCGCTCAAATTTTTATTCATGTAAGCTAAGCAATTTACCCAAAAAACACTGAGCAACTCTTCAGCTTTACATGAATAAAAGTTTGAGAAAAATTGCTGAAGTTTTTAATCACGTAAAACTGACCAATTACTGAGTAAAAGAAATTTTATTCACCTGACCTAATAAGTTTAAGCGATATGTTTTCTTGACATTCTTCAAACTTTCTTCAAATAGATTTTAAATAAATTTGAACCTATTTTACCTCTCCAAAAGGAAGATCTCTTGCATAACCAGAACTTTTAAGCATATTAAAACATGTTTCCATTGCCTAAAGAAAAGGTTGTCTTAAATCAACTTATAAATTTTTATTTTTTAATAAAAAGGTTTTCTTAAACCAGCAGATAATTTTTTAATTTTTAATAAAAAGTGTAAAACATGAATATACATTTACTTTATTTGAACATTAACTTTAAATGATATTTCAAACTTTTTAAGATAATACTTCAAGATTATATTTTATATTTTACTTAATTCTAATTTATTATTATTTTTTTTATTTACAAGTAAAAAAATAACTTAAATTTAAAACACAAAAGTTTTTTTTTTTGAGTCACCTAATTTTAATACATACATACACTTAATTTGTGGTTGAGATGCGCCCATCCCACCTAATTTACAAGAAAACAATGATTACAATAATGTGACCAAAATTTACATTTCCTTTTTAGTATTTTTATGGAAAAAAAAAAAAAAAAGACAAAAAATTTTAGTATATAAATTTTAGTATATAAAGTATGTTATAGATTAAAAAGTTGATTAAAAAATTTTTAGACATTTAAAAATTATATCAATAATGAATTTACAAAACAAATAGATGCAAACTTGACTACAAAATTAACAATGACAAAACAAACAATAATAAAATTATTGTTTGTTTAATTTAAAAAATTTATTTAAAATTAAATATATTTTTTTTAATTATGAAAAGCTTGAAATAAAAATTTGAAATTGAAATATTAAACTCCATTTTATTATTTATTTGAATTTCCTGCTAAATTATGCTATACAATGCTCTTGTATCCAAAGATATTTTTGGCTTAGCATAGGAACTGCCATAAATAATCATAAAGACTAATCCAAAGTAGCGTCTGTTATTGACCAACACTTTTGCGTATCAAAGTACAACTCAAGCACTGAGTTATTGGTGACTGGATTTGAACTAGTATCCCACAACGGTCTGGGTTTTAAAAATTTGTTTCACGCTCTAACCAACAGCTGATAATTTTTATTATTTCTTTTCAACATACCTGATTAAGCATATATACAGCTAGCGCACCTCTTCGAGATTTTCTTTCAATAAGTATTGCACAATATGCACTTATGATCCCTGGCAGAAATCCAACAGAAAGAATGTTGAAACAACCAAACAATTTCCTAGTTAAAAAAAATCAATTCATTTTGTCACAAAAAAGGGTAAAAAAAAATTTGAAAAAAATAGTTATAAACCTTTATTATTATATTTATCACAAAATATTTTTTTAAAATTTTAACTGTTTCATATTTTTTTAATTATTTTCCAAAAAAAAATTTTTTGTCACTTTAATCCTTTCTTAAATGTTATATCCGCTTTTTATTAACCTCAATGTTATATGTATTTTCCACTTTTCTGGATGTTGCATCCATTTTTGGTTTACTTAAGGGTATATTTACATAACAAAACATAACATATATGTATATATATGTATATATATATATATATATATATATATATATATATATATATATATATATATATATATATATATATATATATATATATATAACATATATATGGATGTGACACAATTAAAAATTGATTAACTTTAACTACATTTGCAGAATTTAATCTTCATTCATTATTATTACTAAAACTTACTTTGAACCTACTAAGTGTAGTTCAAAGTAAGTTTTAAAAAGTTCTAGGTCATTTTTGACTATTAAAGCTTTGTTTTCTATTTATTTTAAATTTTAATTATTTTTTCTATTTCTTGCAATTATAAGCAAACTAAAACATTTTGATAACTATTCAAATTATATGAAAGTAAATCTTTATAGCCTTTAAGCTTTCGAAAGTATATACTTAGCCTTTAAGCTTTGCGATGAGCTTACAAGAAAAGAGAATCAGAATTTTAAAGGTATATAGATTTTTATCAGTTCATTACATTTTAAGAAATATGGCATATTTATATATACATTAAAACTGTAATTTAGTCATATCCAGGTCAAGTTAGGTTCAAGATTATCACAATCAACCTGCTACTGGTATCATGTAAGCCAGTACTACCTGCCCCATGCCCTGCTGCCTTGTAGGGTATGCTTTTTAGAGAAAGGCTAGGAGAAACAAACACCGATACCCTGCTTTAGGATTCTTGGTTGAGTGAAGGCTAGAGACGGTATCTAAATAAAAATACTCATCTTAGGCAGATGTTAACTGCATCCAGCTACTGGTAAGCAGAAAAATCTGCTAACCAGCCTCAAACCCTTCCTTCACATATTAAGCTGGCATAGATGTGAACCTGAGTTACATTGTTTCCTGCCTAGGATGAATGCTGGATTTTTCTTGACTCTTCTCATAGGCTTTTCTTGTGCTTCCTCGACAGTGCAATTGTTCCTGTTATAACCTGAGGGTACAGCTCTAAAACTCAGTTTAATGGTTCTAAGGCTGGCTGGTAGTAAGGTTTCCCAAAATCTTTGGTAGTTCTAAAAGAGGCTGATTCCATTAACAGCTGCAAAATGTCAACGTACTAACAGTGTCATGTTGCGCATGGAAGGTGTTCCTGTTAATGCTTTCGGTGCGCATTGTTGAGGCCACATAAGCAGCCCTATATTATGACTTAAGGTTAATTAACAGGACTAAGACAATTGCATTGCTCATTGTTCAGGAGGCCATCCTCTATCTATAAATGAGTCAAGTTTTCTTTAAACTTAAATCATGCCAAAAGTAACCCAAAATATTAAACATAAAAAACCATCCCCACCATCTAACTGTTTTAATATATCTTTTACAAATATATGTAGTCTGCGAAGCAATCCTTCCCCCCGTCATCCATCAGTTGAATCTTATCTCTTGCAAAATTCACTATATTTGCTTGCACTTTGTGAGACCAATTTAAGTTCGACTATTCCTTCTTTAGATACCAGTGTTGATGGGTACTATCTTTTGATTCCCAAAGACTCCAATAGTCACATGCTTGGCTTGGGGTATAAATATACATCAATTCACCTATTTGTTGTGAAATCAGGTTTGAACCCTTTGACCATTCTTTTAATGTGCTTCCCTTTAGCACCTCTTCACTATATCATCTTTTTCTTTGTACTTTTTAGTTTGCCTTCTTACCAAGACTGCACTCGTTTAGATATAATTTCTGATCAAATTGACTATGCTCTCTCTCTTTACCCCTCTGCCAATATTGTTGTTATTGGTGACTTTAATGCTCATCACACTAAAAGGCTTGGCTCTAACGTCACTGACCCTGCTGGCACTAAAGCTAATAGCTTCTGCATTTCTTAATTTCTTACTCAGATAGTTAACTTTGCAACTCGTTTTCCTGACAACTCTAATCATTTACCTTCACTCCTTGGTTTATGACTGGTTTCTTACCCTAGCTTGTTTTAAGTTTCTCCTTTTTCTTTCTTAAGTGGTTTTGACCATGCAATGATCTCTTTAAATCTTTCATCTCGTACTTCCTTTTCAAACTCACCTTGTCATCGCTTTATTTACCATTATCCTAAAGCAGACTGGGATTCTTTTCATGATTTTTTTCATGACAGTCCTTGGGTCAATGTCTTTTCCCTCTCAGCTGAAAAACACAACACCTATGTAACCTCCTGGATTCAGGCAGGAAGGAAGCTTTTATTCCTTCTTGTTGGTTCCAAGTCAAATCTAGTTCTACACCATGGTTTTCACCTTCTTGTGCAGCTGTTATATCTAATCATAATAATTGAATCATAATAACTATATTCAAAGAACTTTTCTTCTAATTCGAATTTTATGGCCATTCTCTTCTTCCATTCCAATAAAACAGTTGAAGCCATTGTTAGACATTCAAACCACTCCATCTTTTTTTGCTGTAGTCATATCTCAAATAAACTCTTCTACAGCTTGTGGTCCAGACAACATTTTTTCTAAAGTATTTAACAAGTGCTTTTTTTTTTTTATTTGCATTCACTCCCAACAAGGCTACAAGCAACCACTATTAAGTTGGGAGTTACTAGGAAAAAAAAAAGAACAGAGTTATAGAGCAAGGAAACGGTTGACAGAAGACTTGAAAAGTTGAAGGTTGTATGAGTCAGGAAAACATGAAGATGGGAGAGAGTTCCAAAGGATTGAAGTGCGGGGAAAAAAACTAGATGAATAAAAGTTTTTAGAGCATGCAGGGACAGATACAGTAAACGAATGAGACTTAGCTGAATGACGAGTAAAACGAGAATGAACTTTAGTTGATGGAACTAGAGATGATAACTCCTTTGAGCAGTGACAATGATAGTATTTGTAGAAAAGAGAAAGAGATGCAACTTTACAACAATGGGAAAGAGGCTCAAGCTTAGCAGATAGTCCAGGTCCAACAACATTTACAATGCATTTTTTGGACCTTGTCAAGAAGAGAAAGTGAATCGTTAGAAGAACCAGCCCAAATATGACAGCAGTATTCCATACAGGGCAAATAAGAGATTTGTAGAGGTAGAGAATGGAATCAGAAGTAAGGAAATGGCGAGCACGATAAAGAGAAGCAACCTTAGCAGACGCTAATTTAGCAATCGATTGTATACATGGTTTCTATGAAAGGTCAGTAGTAAGCGATAATCCAAGAAGATGTAAAGAGAAAGACTCAGTAACAGGATTGCCATTCATTAATATAGGAATGTTGACCATATTACAGTAGTTGTTTGCAGTAAACAACTGGGTTTTGTTAGAGTTGAAATTCACGAGCCACTGTGAACCCCAATCTATTACTGAAGTGAGATTGGATTCAAAATCAGCTGCTTGTTCTAGGCGATCGAAAAGAGAAGACTTTTTGTCAAGACAGAAGTATAAAGTTGAGTTATCAGCAAAAAGAGCTACTCTAGATGAAAGGTTGTCAGGAAGATCGTTTACGTAGATAAGAAACAAAACAGGGCCCAGGATGGAACCTTGGGAACCCCAGAAGTTACTGGAAATAAAGAAGAGTGTTGGCCTTCAAGGAATAATAAACCGGTTAGAAAGAAATGATTTGATAATCTCAAAAACTTTCCCAGAAACACCATATGAAGCAAGCTTATGGAGAGGACCAGCATGCCAAACTTTGTCAAAAGCTTTAGATATGTCGAGAGCAATAGCCCTAGCCTCACCGCATCCATCTAATGCACAATAAAATCTTACAGCAGTTAGCAAGTCGGCCGTAGAGCGAAAGGATCGAAAACCGTATTGATTGTCTGAGAGTAGTTTATTTGACTCAAGATGAGAAATGAGGAATTTGTTGATTAAAGACTCAAAGACCTTGCTAATAACAGAAAGAAGACTGATCGGACGATAATTGGAGGGGTCAGAATTTTCCCCAGAGTTTTTGAATATTGGAACCACAGATGCCATTTTCCAACAAGAAGGAAAACAAGACTCAGTCAAACACTTTTTAAATAGTTTAGAGAGGATTGAACAAAGTTCTGGAGAACAATTCCACAAGACTATGACAGGAATTTTGTCTGGACCACAAGTTGTAGACGAGTTTAATTAAGATATGACTTTAGTAACAGAAGCCGGAGTGATTTGAATGTCTAACAATGGGTCAACCTGTTTGACTGGAATGGAAGGAAGAGAATGTCCATAAGATTCAAAAGTGGAATTAGAAGAAAAGTTCTTTGCAAATAGTTCTGCCTTAACCTTGGGAGAGGTAATAAGATCAGTCCCATGAATGAGAGATGGAATGTTAGATCTATCCTTGTTAATAATGCTGTTGAAGATTTTCCAAATGTCTTTAGAGCCTAACTTCTGTGATAAGATGCGAGATTTAGTGAACTGAGAATAATGGAGTTTAGCATCAGAAAGCACCTTTTTATATCGATTTCTTGCAATAATAAATAGCCGTTTGTTCTCAAGAGAGTTGTTCTTTTGAAAAAGATGAAAAAATGATTACGATTGGATATAGCAGCCACACAAGAAGGAGAAAACCTTGGAGTAGAATGAGGCTTGACTTGAAACCGACACGAAGGTATAAAAGTTTCCATTCCAGCCTGAATCCAGGAGGTTACATAGGAGGCGCATTTATCAGCTGAGAGAGAAAAAACATCAGCAATTATAACTATTAGCAAGCAAGTCTTTCATTAACAAATTTCTCACATTCCATCTTAAATCAAATAACTTGGTGTCAGATAACTGATATAGTTTTCGATCCTCTTGCTCTACTGGTGACTTGGTAACTGCTGTGACTGAAAGATTTTACCATGCATTAGATGGAGGCAGAGAGGCTAGAACTTTTGCTCTTGATATATGTATGGCTTTTAACAAAGTTTGGCATGCTAGTATTCTCGATTTCATATGGTGTATCTGGTAATATTTTTGAGACTTTTTTTTAAACCACTTATTAAAGTCATCTTCTCAAAGGTCACCTTAATCAACTCGAAAGCCAACGCTCTTCCTCGTTTCTAATAACATCTACCTCAAGGTTCTATCTTTAGTCCTGTTTTGTTTCTTATCTACATTAATGAACTTCTGGACAACCTTACATCTAAAGTAGCTTTTTTAGCTGATGACTAAACTTTATAACCCTGTCTTTACAAAAAGTCTTTTTTTTTCTGATCTCACTTCTGTAACAGATTGGGGCTCACATTGGCTTGTCAATTTCAACTTCAACAAAACTCAGTTATTTACTGCAAATAATTTACTATCACAATACTGTTGACATTCCTATATTAATGAATTGAGTCCTCTTCTTTACGCTTTCTTGGATTATTGTTTATTACTGACCTTTCATGGAAACCATATATACAATCGATTGCTAAATTACTATCTGCTAAGTTGCTTCTCTTTATCATGCTTGCCATTTTCTTACTCCTATTGCATTCTCTACCTCTAAAAACCTCTTATTCATCCCTGTATGAAATACTGTTGCCATATTTAAATTGGTTTTTCTAATGATACTTATTCTCTTCTAGACAAGGCCCAAATCCACTCTACCTGTTAAGCTTGAGCTTCTTTCTTATCATCGTAAAGTTACATCTCTTTTTCTTTTCTGTAAATACTATCATGGTTGCTGCTTAAAGAAGCTATCATCTCTAGTTTCATCAACTAAAACTCATTCTTGCTTGATTTGTCATTTAGCAATATCTCATTCTTTTACTGTATCTGTCCGTGCATGCTCTAAAAACTTAAACTTGTCTAGTTTTTCCCCGCACTTCAACCCTTTGAAACTTTTTCCCATCTTCATATTTTCCTGACTTATACAACCTTTAATTTTAAAGTCTTCTTTCAACTGCTTCCTTGCTCTATAACTCTATTCTTTTTTTTCTAGTAACTCCCAACTTAATAGTGGCTGCTTGCAGCCTTGTTGGGAGTGAATCAGAATGAAAAAAAATATACACACTAACAAAAAAAAAGGTACAACTTTTAGAGTGTAATGCAATGCTTATAAAAAAGTAGCTAGATTCAGCTTATGTCTAGATGGGAAAATAAACAAATATGTTAAAAGCTATTATTTTTTGGAATAAATAATCTAAATTAAACCTTTTTTTAAAATATTTCTTAATCTTTAAAACCATATGAACTAGCTGCATGGTATAACCCTAAAAATATTTATTTATTACATTTTTCATGAATAATTGTTTTATACATTTAACAATTTTTTTAAAACTGGATAAGTTTAATAAAGTATGTGAATAAATTAAAAATATTAGAGCAAAATTAATTAAACTAGATTTTTTCATTGGCATATAATGTGGACAGTGTTACATGTCAAGTTTTGACTTTTGGAAAAATGACTCACATTTGCTCCAGGCAGCACATGATTCCACTCCTGAGGAGAGGTCCCCAAAACTTCTGCATTTCTTTGGATAGTTTAAGTGTTTTACAATGTCATTGAAATCAGCCTAGATTAATAAGTGTGGTTTATATTTGTGCAATTCTTCATAAGAAGCATCTTCTTGGTCTTCAACATCACACTGACCATCATCTGTACTCTAGTCACTTGTAGTGTTTAGATACATTGGTGGAATGGGCACAGGATTTTTAACATCATGCAAGAATATTTTTCAGACCTGATAGACAGTATGGATACACTATACCTGATTTAGTCTTTATTGGTCCTGCAGAAGTAACAATCATACACATAATTGGTAAGTTCACACCACACCATGGGTATATAGAGAAGCATTAAACTTTTTTTTCTGAGTACCAATTGTGTTAAACTAGAATGACTTGTTGTGCAGTACCTATGAGAGGCCCAATTTTTATCCTGGTTACCAAGTTTGATGCCAAAGTAACTTTGCTATGCAGTTTGAGTCTCTCGGTTCTTTTGTAACTTTCCACAAATGTAAAAAAACTATCAGGATGATTAACACAAGCTCAACTTTTTCTTTTCATTGTGATTAAAAAAAAAACTATAATTAACTTTTTTTAATTGAAAATTAATTTAAAAAATAAACAAATAAAAAAACATACTATAATTAACTTTTTAGTAATTTAAAAGAAAAACACACAGCATTACATATATCATAGCAAGCAATGTTATGAGAAAACACAGCATTACATATATAATAGCAAGCAATCCTATGAAACAAACTGTACACTTTTTTTTCTTCGAAATCTTCAGTAGTCATTTTTCAACAGTAAAATGATGAGACTTAATTGAATGATACATGATAACAAATGAAACATGATAAAAAATTCTGAAACCACCAAATATAAACTCATTATTTTTCTTTTCACTGATCACCTGATGCTTACTTTTTGGAATGAAGCAAAATTTTCCTATTTAGCTATTTTTTACTTACAAATATCAGAGGACAAAACAAAATATATACTTGAACTTACAAACAGAGTTTGTATCTAAAAGCGACACACTTGTACCAACAAACTATACAGAATTTTTACCTACAAACACAGAAGCAGAATATCATGAAACCTCCACTTGATCCTAAGAAAAGTGATGATTGTAAAACATCTCTGATAAATTTTTTCTTGAAATATTCTAATCTTTTACCACTCAAAACAGCTGATGCCTAAAGAATAAATTTTCGATTGCTATAAAATGATATTATATGAAAAATACATTGTGTGATTATAAATATCTTTTTTTTTTGCAACACCCACCTGGGCTAAACAATATTATTATCAGAGGTTAGAGGGGGTTTAATATCAGTTTAATATTAGCTTTAGTTGTATTATTGTGTGACACTTATGAATAAAAAGCATGAAGTATTACCTCTTTTTATTAATTAACCTAGTATTTCAAGGATCCTAAAGCACTTTTTGACTGGGTATGAAAAAATACTTTTGAGTAAGAAAATGTTTTTCTTGAAAATTTTTCAACTAAAAGCATTTAAGAATTGGAAAAACAATTAAATTTATTTAAAGTTATTTTTCTTCATAAATGTATGAATTCCCTTTAAATGTTAAAATTGATTAAAATTAATTAAGCTTTTAATTTAAAATTAAAAAATAAAGATTAAAAAAGAGAAAATAAATAAAGAGAAAAACTTCATGAGAAAGTACGACTAATTATTTAAGCATGTAACCTAACACCTTAAATCTTTCATCAACTTCTTCAAAATGCTCTGCAAACATGGAACAAATATATCACAAAAGCATAGACTTACAAAATTTCAGCTCAGTTTTAAAATTGGTTTTTGAGATATGGTTATTTCAAAATCAGCTGTTTCTATGAAATTTTTTGTTTGGTGGACATTTTGTTTTTGGTGATATTTTTGTTTTTCATATTATTGTACAACCATGAATATAATCAAACTAAAAAAATTAACTTGTTTAGTTTTCCATAAAAAAAATCAAAACTAAACCAAATGAGTATTAGTTTTATTTCACAAAAATTTATAAGATTATAAAAGGAGGCTTGGGAATCAAGTATATATTTGAAACAATTTTTTAATAAAATATATTTTAAAGAGTTTTTTATTAAAATAATTTAGAGGTTGACTCAAAGCGCAGATAATACTCAGTACACTATTCAATAGTCCGAGCAATTGCCTTATTACTATTAGTAAATCTTAAGCCATAACAAATGGCTCTAAATGTGGCCTTGACAATGCACACTGAAAGTACGAACAGGGACATCATCCATGCGCAAAAAAGCACTGTTAGTACTCTAATATTTTACAGCTGTTAATGGAATCAGCCTCTCTGAGAGCTACCACAGAGTTTGGGAAACCTGACTACCAGCCAGCCTCAGAACCATAAAACTGAATTTGTTAAAACTTATTAAGAGATAATAGAATGAGTTGCCTAGTTATAAAAATAGGAACACAAGCAAAACCAATGGATTGAGTCAAGAAGATCCAGCATTGAACATCTAAAACTGGAAAAAATGTATTAAAAATACATCTGCGCCAGCCTAATAGATGAAGAAAGGGTGCGAGGCTGGTCAACAGATATAATCTGTTTACCCCTTGAGTCTTTGCCCAGAAGGCCTTCTACAAGACAGTAGCCCGATGCATTTGTCTGCCCAAGATGAGTATTTTTATCAAGACACCACCACTTTTGATAATTCAGCAGATGAACATAATCCCTTTCACCAGTTTGGAGCAAATGTTAGGACAATAGCTGTCCATATAAAACTTTTTAAAAAACTTATTACATTGGTAATTTGCTAAATCAGACAATAAAATATCTATGTTGGTATAAGGTGAGTTTACAGCAATTGAATAGATTGAAAAAATTGCCTAATATCACATCTGTTAAAAAAAAATAGATATTGCATAAATGGTTTTACTTGGTTTAAATAGAAAAAAAGTTACTAATAATTTAACCTTTTTTTCTCCATTTAAATTTACTAATAATTTAACCTTTTGTTTCCAAATTTAAATCTAATTTAATCTAATTCAAATTTAAATCTAAGCATAACTTAGATTTAAATTTGAATTAGAAGCTTAAATAAGCTTATTAGAGCCATTAGTCAACCCTGATTGGGAAGTCTTTTTGGCTTCATTTACATCAAATTTAAACTTAATGACAATGTTCTTGAAGTTATTGTAGCATTTTGTTTCTTCTGCTTCTGAAAAAAGATTTTTGAAATAATATACTTGCTTTAAAAAGTTTTTATTTGTTTATTCCTAATTTTTAAATTTTTTACACTTATTACTTTTTTTTCAGAAATTTTTCTCAAGTTATAAACTCAGAGAATTTATATATCACTTTTATATTGAAAGCTAGTAAAGACATTTACTATTAAAAAAAAAAAAAGTAAAAAAAAAATAATAATAGTAAAACAAGTAGTCACCTTCCTTGTCTATAGTCTACCATATTGGCCTCAGAGAGTTAAATATATTTAAAAAAATAATAACTTTCAGATATGAAGAAACTTTAAACTTGCATATGCTAATGCTTAAATTGTTATCTGGGAATAAAATTATCAAAACACTTGTGTTTCCAATCTTCCCCAGCCTCGAATAATACAAATTTTATATATATATATATATATATATATATATATATATATATATATATATATATATATATATATATACATATATATATATATATATATATATATATATATATATATATACATACATATATATATATATATATATATATATATATATATATATATATATATATATATATATATATATATATATATATATATATATATATATATATATATATATATATATATATATATATATATATATATATTCAAAGTTTTTAATTTTCATCAAATATTTTAACATAACTTTTGTTTATGTAAAATCTACAACTTATTCATGGTTTAGATGGTTAGTTCTTTTAAAATATTTATTCGCTAACTTTCCTATAATTTTATAATCCTTAAAATTTTAAGGATTATAAAATTTTATAATTTTATAATCCTTAAAATACTATTTATTTAAAAGTTTTTAAAATTCAGTGTTATTTTTTTATCTAATAAATACACATTTAAGGTGTAAGAGCAGACATTTTTAAAAATCATTTTATTAGGATACCCTACTGCCTTAGATTTTTGTTTACAGGCTGTCAAACAACTGGTTTGAACCTATAAACAGAAATCTGAAAAGAAAATAACCTAAACCATAAGTAAGTATTATCTCTGAACTAATTTTATAAGTATTAAGTGATTCCATGTGCTGAAAAATCACTTTTTTTAATTGTACAACTCATCTCATTTTATGTTCTAATAAATTTTTTATTTTTTACTTGTGCATTGATATATGAAATACCAAGTCTCATTGTAATCTGGATACATTTTCTGATAATTATTTAAATTGAAATACAAGATTAGTTCTGATATTTCTTTAACTGTACAAAATACTACTTTTTTATTTTGGTGAAAATAAAAGAGTATTTTTAACAGCTATACCTGTTCATTATATGATAAACTTGTTGTCTAGAAGATATTGATGGAATAGACTGATTGGAAGATGTTGATGGAGTTGCATCATTAAATTATTTACTTTTGAATTAGTATTAACTTTTGTTTAAACCAGTTGTTTGAATGATGTAATCATAAGCAAATATATTATATTAATGGGGGAAAATATGGGCAAACTTCAAAAGTTGGAACATATTTCTAAACATGAATTAAATTTAATTGTGTAAAAAATGTTTTCAAAAATAATTGATATTTGAAAATTGAAAGTCAATTAAAAGTTTAGAAAATATCCATAGAAAATACATTATGTGCTGTTTGCTTCTATGTAATTAATATAATAAAGTAGATACCTATATAAAAATAATTTATTTTAGAGCAAAAAAAAACTTAATAAAAAAGCTAGATATTGTTAAACTAACCGGTCACTTTATGCTTTGTTGACTGAAAACTTTACTATAAACATTATATTTGTTATTGTATATAGTAAACTGTGTGCTTTACAACATCTGAGTATTAGTTAGACACAAATTAATTACTATGTGTAATAATACACCCTATGGGTGTGTTTAAGCCTTAAACACACCCTATGGGTGTGTTTAAGGCTTCATGTTTTGCTCAGATTGAGAAATGAAAAGATTTAAGCTCCTTTGGTAAAAAATATTATATTGTGCAATCCTTCATAATACTTGTTCTTATTCAATACCAAAGACTTTTATCTTAAATTTTTTTGCTTTATTGTGTGTTTGTTTGCCTTAAATTTGTACTTTAGGACTTACGAATAATGTCACTTTTAAGTTTTTGTCCCCGAATGTTACTTCTTGTGCAACGTGTTTTATCAACTTTCTTAAAAGTATATCAACGTTCTTTGTTTAAAATGGAACAAGTTAGGGTACTTGGCTGAGCAGTAGTATATCCTTTCAAATGTTGCAGCATAAGAAGGCTTTGACGTAGACGTAGAGGTGGGTTTTACTTGCGTGTTTTGAGGATGATACCCTGACTGGGGTTTCTAGGAATGAGCATTAAAACATTTGAAACGTATTGAATCCTTATAAAAGAGTCAATACTATATCCATTTCCTGACAAGAATCTGGTATTATACTACATAATTTTTAATTTTTTTAACACTGATATATTTTTATTCTCTTTCTTTAAGTAAATATGTGCGCACTCTCCCAATTATAATAAATGTTTGTTTTTGATGTTTTTTGTGATACTTCTGCTTTATTGTATGTTTAATAAATAAAGTTATTTTGTTATACTGTGCTAATTGGTTTATCACATTATGATTACCACAAAGATGGCAATTATTAAAAGTTGTTTTGATTTTATTAAAAACTTTTTGTATATTTATCTTATGAATTCTTATAGTTTTAATTGAATGTTTACTATTTTTTGTCTGAGGCTGACGGGTTCGTGTTGATTGGGGTTACACAGATTTATTCTGTTTATTGCTATTTGAGAATGTAAACTAAATGTAAAACAAATATTTTTACTAAAATGCTGGGTTTTTTTATAAAACAAATTTACTTAAATGGTATAAGTTATAAATATATTTGCATTAGTATAAAACAAATAACATGTTAATGGCATTAATTACAATTTAATATAAACTAAGCATTAAACAAATATTTCCAGTAATAGGGTATTAATTATAGTTAAATACAAACTAAGTATAAAACAAATAAGTCTATTCAAATGGTATACATTTTTAAAAAACAAATAACTCCCTTAAAATGGTATACATTTTTAAAATGAATAGCTGCACTATAATGGTATAAATTAAAACTTTATTTAAATTAAGTATAAATTAAGTATCATACGAATTATATACGAATTATATACGAATTATAATACAAATTACTCAAGGAAAACGGTATAAATTATATTTAAATATAAACGAAGTATAATACAAATAATTCCACTTAAAGAGTATACAGTTTTAAAACGAATAACTCCACTAAAACGATATCAATAGTAAACAAAGAATAATGTGTATTACTCTAACTTTACATAAACTAGATTTAAACAGTATAAAGTTTGAGTTAAATGTGAACTACATATTAAACAAATAACCCCACTTTAGAATAAATTATGATGAAAAACTTAACTTAGTATAAAACAAAATTTTTAGATTGAAGGTGTATAATATAATCATATATAAACTATGTAAAAAACAAATAACTCTACTGTTATGGTATACATTTTTTAATACTAACCACTCCATAATGGGTCGTTCCGTGCCAAATGGTCTAAAACTTTAGGATTCCAACATGGACCCCCTCAGATTTTGATGAAACTTAGTAGGTTGGTTTATATCAATGAGAAAAGCAATTCCTGAAAATTTCAGCTTCAAATCTTATGTGGTTCATGAGATATGGCCATTTGAAATTTCTGATTTTTCCAAAAATAAAAACTTCAGTAGCAAAAACATGTTTTGTTCATACTTTGAAGCTCTGTATTTTAAAAACTAAATTTCAGAAAACCTTCTAGTTTTTTTTATCATATACAACGCTAGGCTTACTTTGTTAAAACTTTGACATTAAATTTTTAAATGTCACATTTTATCCATAATGGCTGCCTAAAAAACCGAAAAAATTGTTTGCAGATATAGAAAGTTGATTTTTGATGGGTCAATATACAAAACTAGCAATTTAAGAAGTAAAAATACATATCTTTTTAGTTTCTATATATGGTAGGCTTCCTAATTTTCAGAAATTTGCTGATATGATACAATTCAGTAAGAAATTATGGACCCCTAAAAATGGCTCCGGCTAGAACTTACAAAATTGTGCCTTCCCTTAAATCCACTGGTAACCTATGATCAACACTGATTTTCGTGATATACTTTTTTTCAACTCATTTAGTAGACTTTATTAAAGTGATTTCAGAAAAAAAAATAGTGGGTACTCATGGGGAAGTTACAAAGTCAGAACAATGAAGTCGGCACAAAATGCATTAAAAACGCAAAAAATAGAGATATTGATGTACTTTAGTATTCATTATTTACTATTTACAATGCAAAAAAATGTATATATATATGAAAGTATATCAAAATCATTGCTACAAATTAGCTTTAAATTAGGACTGAATTAAACTCAGGTTTTAAATAACCTTAGTTGCCCCCCCTGTCTTTTTATTTTTTAACATATATATATCTGGAAGAAAATACATATGTATTTTCTCCCAGAACTTATCTTAAAAGAAATATGTTATTGTATGTTTTACTTTACAAAATGTGTCTGATTTTTTTTCTAATGCATGAAGTGTTAATGCACAAAATAACAAATGAACATACACAGTTAAAAGCTGTGACATGGCAACAAGTTATTGCATGTACTTTTTATCTTTATTTCGTATATAAATTTTATCATTCTATATTTATTTATTGTGTCTAAACTTATGGAAACTTTAGTTTACACTTCAAAAATTGAAAATAAATATATTTTTTTTAGATAATAATTAAAAATAAATGGCAAGTTCATCTTTAGATCTAACTCAATGTTGTATTGGAAAAAAATTAAATGAAAATTGTCATGAAGGAAAATTTACCAAAATCAAGAAAATTAAATTTTTTGAGGAGTTAACAAAAAAAGATCAAGAGCTTGTGCACTTTAGATATAAAGTAAATCCTATTAAAACTATTTGTAATCACCATGAAAAGATCTTCTTGGATAGATTTGAGTCATTGTATGTTGGAAGCTTTTGTTGCGATCCTTTTAACAAACACAAAATTAAAATTAAAAGTATTTAAAAATAGATTAACTTAATGATTATATTAAAGATAAAGTCTTCTTTATTTATTTAGTGTTTTATCATATATTTTTTTAGAATCTGTCAGAGTAATCAGTGCTGCTGTTGCAAAGGAATTTGATTTAATACCTGGTTATAAGCTTTGTACAGAATGTCGTAAAATATTGCACTTAAGAAAACAAGAACATGAAAGCGATTCATGTAAAAATCAAGATAACAATTTTAACGGGATTCATATTTCAAAAGAAAACTTTAATTTAAGCATTAACACCTTTGGTTGTTCACCTCTAAAACTAGTAGCTTATAAAGACAGCTATGCAAAAAGAAAGATTAACAAGATCCATACTGCAACCAAAAAAAAAATAGAAACTGTTTTAAATGTTTCTCCGGATTTAATAAATGATGAACCAAAAACAAAAGAACTTTGTTGCAAAAGTAAACAAGATTTGGACTAACTAATGGAATTAATTAATGCAAAGTTTGATATTTCTTCAAAACCAGAAAAACTTAAATTGCTAACTTTGGTTCCTGAGAGTTGGAACATTAACCATACAGGAAACTATTTTTCTGCCTCCCAAAGAATGATAAAAACTGCAAGGCATTTGAAACAAATGCATGGCATAATGGCGGAGCCAACTAAAAAAGAAGGAAGATCTATTAGTGAGAAAGTAAAAAATCTAGTCCATGAATTTTACCAATCAGATGAATACTCTAGAATGTTTCCAGGAAAAAAACAGTATGTCTCAATCCAAGTTGATGGTAAAAGAAAAATCAGAAATTTCAAATAGTCATATCATGAACCACATAAGATTTGAAGCTGAAATTTTCAGGAATTGCTTTTCTCATTGATATAAACCAACCCACTACGTTTCATCAAAATCTGAGGGGGTCCATGTTTGACCCTGGTTCACTTGGCATGGAATGACCCTAATGCAGTTTTAAAATATAATTAAATATTACTTAGTGTAAAACGAATATTTCCAGTCAAAGGAGATAAAAATGATCAATGACTAGAATTTCCTCCTCTTCACTTGATGCTTCTATACTGGGCCCCCCCCTTTTTTTTTTTTTTTAACATCTTGGCTTCCAACAAGGCTGCAAGCAAACACTCATCAGTGTTGGAAGTTACTGGAAGAGAAAAGATGAAGGTTGTAGAGCAAGATAACGATTGACAGACGACTTAAAAGATTGCAAATTATATGAATCAGGAAAGCAAGATGGAGGAAGTGAATTCCAAAGAACTGATGTTTGAGGAAAAAAACTAGACGAATAAGAGTTTTTGGAGCAATTAGGAACAGTAACAGAAAAAGGATGAGATTTAATTGAATGATGAGTAACACGAGAATGAATTTTAGTAGATGGCACAAGAGACGCTAGCTCTTTAGAGCAGTGCCCATTATAGTATTTGTAGAAAAGAGAAAGAGAAGCAACATTAAGACGATGTGACAAAAGTTAAAGGTTGGCTGCATGAGCAGGTCCAACTATGTTTACAATGCGTTTTTGCACCTTGTCTGAAAGAGAAAGGGTATCTTTAGAAGATCCGCCCCAGATATGGCAACAATATTCCATACAAGACCGGGTTTGAGATTTATAGAGATAGAGAATAGAATCCAGAGTAAGAAAGTGTCGAGCTCGATAAAGAGATGCACATGCTAATTTTGCAACGGATTTGATATAAGGTTTTCAAGAAAGATCAGAAGTGAGAGTTAATCCTAAAAAATGAAGGGTAGATGACTCATCGAGTACATTACTGTTCATAAATATAGTAAGGTCTAAATTATTGCGTTAACGATTGGCTTAAAAAAATTGAGTCTTATCTGAATTAAAATTCACCAGCCACTGTGAGCCCCATGCTGTAGCAGAAGTGAGATCCTTTTCAAGCTCAAATGCCCTCTGCAAGCAATCAGAGGAAGTTGGCTTCTTATCGTGACAAGAATAAATAGTAGTATCATCAGCGAACAATGCCACCTTAGATGTGGCAATATCTGGAAGATTGTTAATGCAAATTAAAAAGAGTATAGGGTCAAGGATTGAACCTTGAAGGAACCCCTGAGGTTACAGAATAAGAAGAAGAGAGCTATCCAACAAGGACAACTTTTAAACTACGATTGGAAAGGAAGGATTCAATAATCTTAAAGATGTTTACAGATACACCATAAGAAGAAAGCTTATGGAGAAGACCAGCATGCCAAACTTTATCAAACGCTTTAGAAATGTTAAGAGCAATAGCCTTAACCTCTCTACTTTTATCTAATGCGAAATACAACCTATCGGTTACTACTGTTAGCAAATCAACCGTAGAACGAGAAGATCGAAATCCAAATTGATGATCAGAAAGTTATTAGATTCAAGATGAGAGATTAAATGTTTGTTAATTAAAGATTCAAAAACCTTGCTTATGATAGGTAGAAGACTAATGGAACGGTAGTTAAATGAATCGGATAGCTCTCCAAAATTTTTAAAAATAGGAATAACAGATGCTGCTTTCTAGCAGGCTGGAAAACAAGACTCTGATAAGCACTTGTTGAATAGTTTTGAAAGGATAGACGACAGCTCCGGAGAACACTTCTGCAAGACTATAACAGGTATGTTGTCCGGGCCGCAAGCTGTAGAACAGTCTAAGCAGGAAATCACTTCAGATAAGGAAGCTGAAGTGATATGGATGTTGAGCAATGGATCAAACTGTTTGACGCCTATATCAGGTAGTTTTGTGATGAAATACGAGATTTCATGATCTGAGAATAGCGGGCTTTGGCATTAGACAAAACCTTTTTACAATGGTTCCTAGCAGTAATAAACAGACGTCTGTTTTCTGGAGAATTGTTTTTCTGATAGATATGGAAGTAATGGTTTCGATTGGCAATTGCAGCAGCACAATGTGAGGAAAAACATGGAGAAGAGTGAGGCTTAACCTGGAATCATCAAGAGGGAATAAAGGATTCCATGCCTGAATCCACGAATTTATGTAAGAAGCACATTTGTCAACAGGAAGACGAAAGATTTCTACCCAAGGGCCATCACGAAGAAAATCACGGAAAGAGTCCCAGTCAGCTTTAAGGTAGTTGTATAATGTACGATGATAGAAGGATTCTGATGATAGTTTTAGAGAGACCAAACCATGATCGGAAGCACCTAAGGGTGAGTGTAGAGAAACTGGGCACTGACTAGGATCAGAAACAAGACATAAGTCGAGTAGAGTAGGTAAATAATTTGGGTTGTCTGGAAAGCGACTTACCTTTTCAACTTTTTTTATCATTGTTTAACTAACACTAACCTAATAAAATTATAACTTTTTTTCACTGATACTTTAACAGCTGCATGTGTTTCATAAAGTAACTGGGTTCTTTTGGGGTTCAGATGTGAAGTTATACAAGAAAAACCTTAATCATTAAAAACGTATGTAAATCAGTTCTGCCCATTATTACCACTAAATTATAAGCTTTCTAACTGAACTTTTGTCCTTTTTTATAACTACTTTCTTAATACTTACTCTAATATAATTTTTTTTTGCATTTTCACATAGGATTTGACAGCCTGATGCGTTTCAAATAGTGCCTAGACTTTTGCTCTAGTTGCAAACATTAATAAACTATTAATAATTAGTTCAAGACTTAAACTAATTATTAAAATTTAATTCAAGAATAAGCGCATATGCTTGAATTGAATATGAATAATTATCAAAATATAAAAAAACTGCAAAGTGCAAACCTGCCTCAGATTGTACTAGTTACCAAACTTTCCTGCTTGCAAATCTATACAAGGGTGATCAGGGCCTATTCTAGGAAAAAAATTTAGGGGGCGGTACCCCCTGTCCAGGCAAAACTTAGTGGAAAATTAGCATTTTTTTGCAAAAAAAAAAAAACAATAATTGCCACAAAAAACCTAAAAAAACAACAAAAAAGTCTATAAATTTTAATTTGGGTAGCACCTGATTCGGTGTCCAAATACGGTTGTCGCTATCGAAAACAGTCTAGAATACCTCCTGGTGATATTAGTGATTATATGTAATCTTAAACTAACTAGTCACTTTATAATTGATTCACTAAAAACTATTGTGCATAATGTAACAATCTAAGCTATTAATTTAAAAATAAACTATGTTTATATACACTTTGAAGAGTTTACTTCAAGATGTCGCATTAAAAAAAAATCTTTTTTTTTTTTTTTTTTTTTTTTTAGTCGGCAAAAGTTGTAATAGCACCCCCCCCCCCACGTGACACCTACTTGCGCCGGCCCTGGGTTCACTAACTACAACCTGTCACAAAGTTCACTTTGTGACAGGTTTTAATGCGACATCATGAAGTAAACTTTTTCAAGTGTAAATAAATATAATTCATTTTTAAATTAATAGCTTAGATTGTTTACATTATGCACGATAATGTAACAACCACAACCTGTCACAGAAAAGAAATCACATTTATGCTCAACTACCACTGCTAAGGAATCAAAAAGTCCAGACTCACTGTATCATGCTTGCTTATGAATCCATCATAACAGATGCAGACAATACCTTTTTGTATCAATTTCTTGCATAGATATTTGTTTTCCATAAAGTTGTTTTTGTATAAAAGATAACAAAAATGATTGCAATTAAAAAAAATAAAAAAAACATGGTTTAGAGTTAAACTTGAACTAAAACTAACACCAAAGAATTCTAAAAAAAATTCATACCTACCTGAATCCAGAAGATTATAAAGGAAATTCAAATTTAAGCAGAGACAAAAGAAAACAATCCAAGGACCATCACAACAAAAATCAAAAAAAGAATCCTAGCCAGTTTTTAGTTAGTAGTAAGAAGCTTGATTAAAGAGTGAGTCTGATGTCAAAATCTCAGCAAAAAATTCAGAAAAAAAAACTTGAGCTTTGTAGCCAAGAGGATCATCAGACCTAGAGTAAAGGCATTCAGTGTGATTAGCATTATAATCACTAATAACAACAATGTTAACTAAAGGATAAAGAAAAAGTGCTTTCTAAACTTGATTAGAAACAACATCAAAATTTCTTGGAAAGATGGGATGGTGAAGTGAAGAAAGCACATAAAAGTATAGTCAGAGGATTCAAACCGATTTAATGACAAATATGTGAATTGATACATAAGAATAAGTCGAATTCAACGATTCAACTACTGGAGTCAAATTGAAGGATAATAGCCATCAGCACCACCATTTGATAATGAAACAGTTGAATT